AGAGGCATGTGTGTGAACCCTCAAAATGGTCACTCATTTTAACTTGAATAAGGTAATACATATGTAATGCATCCTGTTAGATGTGTTTTGAGTATAAAGGTGGCATTATACTAAACAAAACAAAATTCAAGAAGGATGGTGGAAGAGGAATACTTGACATTTGATAGTGCTTGCTCTTGAATTGTTGGCATGCACCAGTTATACCATTTTGCAGCAAACAAAACCCTTGCAATTGGACTCCACCACAAACGTTGCCCAAGACCAAAACATTGATCCTACTTTAAGTATTGGCATAGAATGAGAATGATCATTGAGACAAAAAGGGGAGAATAATGGGTTTGAAATTAAAAGGTTCAGTCCTGAATAGAAGGGAAAAATTTTACTTTGGTATGCAAAATGGTATGATACATTCATACACAGGAGAAGGCATTCACCCTGATTGACAAACGCAACTGAAGACCATTATGAAACCCCCTTGCATCAAAAGTGCTAGTAACCCTTCCTGGTGGTGCCTCTCACTGTATTGTAAAATACTTGAGGCAGGAAGAAGACGGCACTATGATAAAAATACTCAATTGCTTTAATTACATTTTGTTATCATTTTGCGTGTTATTTGCTTTGCTTGATACTTATGTTGCTAGGTTATCTTTATATATATGTTATATAAGGTGGGCTCAGTTCAATTCTCTTTGCTTTCTGTGAAGTCTGTGATCACCATTCTGGGTACCTTCAGTGAGAGTTGTTGATGGGTCTCTCACTAGAGTCAGACAAGCTAAAATTTATGTCAGATAGCAACCCAGTCTTCATATAAAAACGTTACCCTGGCTACGGTTGGTCAAAGTGCAAGAAACGTAGAGGGGTTAATAAGTGGTCTTAAATTGTAACTAAGCGTTACATTTTTTCTGGTTCCTATTCTTTTTCATTATTGTTTTTGCAGATAGACATCGTTGGAGGTTGCATTTGAGATGGAAAATGAAACCACAACACTGTATCCAACGGTTCCTGATCATGTCGAAAACTGGACGTTTACTGGAAGAGTGTTAATGAGTCATGAGGCTCTGCTCATTTCCCGGAGCCCTGTTCTAAGCAAAGGGGAAATCTTCCGTAAAGCCAACAAAGCCAGCTAGCGGCAGGCAGTCGACTTGAGCTCTCAAGCAAGAATCTAACAAAACTGTCCTGGATTCCATCCCACCCAACTTCCTTGACGGTGGTTCCTGGTTCACCGCTTGGGCATGGAAAAAAGGGTGACATGTGTACGGTGTATGTGCACAGTATATCAGGCTTACCATACGCCATTAAGGGCTTGCACTGTTAGTCAAAGACGTGGACATTGTCAAAGCTGAAGTGAAGGCTCAGAACATCAGCCACAACCTTCATAGGGGAGGATACAGAATTACTCATTCTTCTCTCTACTATGCTGGACGCGAACAATAAAAGTCCAAAGCTACGTAATGTGTACAAAAATCAGTGAGATTGAAAAACAGAGTCCTGGCTAATGACTTGTGTTCCCAGTTGCTGTTGCAGCAGCCTTTCACAGGCTGTGATACAACATTTTTTAGTGTTGGCAAACAGAACAGCGATTCCAGAAAACGTAGTGAATGGTGAGATCAAACGCATCCGGAGTCATGTAGCCAAATGTGTTTCTGCTCCCACATCAAGCAAGGAATGGTCCACAGGAAGACCATGGACCAAAGTGCAAATGGCGTTACTCCAAATCATTTGGTTACCCCAGAACATCTGCCTCCAACTGATTCCTCAACCAAATACCACTGAGACTGAGAGTTTTACTTCCAGATCACTAGTGTGGATTGGGAAAAAAGAAGGGTGACATGAACACAGTGGATTGTGGGGTGGAAAACTGAGTGGACACATTTCCTGCAGTTATGACCAGTTTAAGACTGCTGCGCCAGAAGCCTCTTGAGATGATCTACTGTAATTGCATGGCCTGCCGAACAACAACCGGTTGCAGTTGCAAGGCATATGGACTGCCATGCATGCCTGTCTTGTGGGACCCCATGTTCAAGTTGGGGAATAGTTGAGAACTGACATAATACAACCTCTGTGGGCAGGAAGGAGTGTGAGATTTAATCGGTAAATCTAGGTGAAAGGCTCACAGTGCAAAAAAGATATAAGGAAATAAACCAGAATTAAGATAAAACACTGAAGAAAATAGAAAAAGATATGTATAAATAAGAAATGTATTTAAAAAATAATAAAAAAATAAAAGGGTTAGCAGCTACCACAACTGTTCTAATTGAATTTATTTATTATTGGAATTAAAAAGTGGTTATGAACCACAGAAACCACCAAACACTAGGCAAAACGATATAAGGAAAGGAGAAATATGTCAAATTATTAAGGGAAAATTTTATTTTAATTTATTTCTATTTTATTTATTTATTTTCGCATTAAAATATTGCTGCTAACCAATTGTTTAATATATAATTGTACTTGTAATCGACTTATCTCATGCAAATATGCCCAATTAAGAAATATTACATGGCCAAAACATGTTACAGGCACCAGTATTCCTGGTCTTGTAGGAGAAATACAAAGGGGAAGGTAAAATGGCATTTTCAAGTTGACCTGACCATTTTGAAAATGGGGCCTTTCTTGGAGTCAAACTTTGGTAAACTTTTAGTATGTTTTTAAGTACATCTGATACTACTGTAAACCACTGAGAAACCTTTTGTTAGAATTTTTTTGGGGTCAAGCCATATTTGCAGCTGACTATAGGGTAAACACAGGTTTTAATAATTAGAATAACTACTAATACTACTAATCGATCATCACAAAAAAAAAGAAATACTAAAATGGGATGTAATGTAGCTATACTCTGCATTGGCTTGCTTATCTATTTTTCTATGTGGCTCGTGCTGTTAATGTGTTGTTTCTTCATACTTTCAAGTGCTTCGCTTTCTTTGCCTGTCTGATCCATTTCCAAAAACTTCACCAGCGTTTCATCTTCAATCTCTGAAATGACAACATAAAAAACGGAATTAAATGCTGCATCCAAACATAGATAATAAATATAAAGGATTTAAAGGGATTTACCATTGGTGTTGGGTTTGATCTCCACAGCATTGACTATCTTTACAGGGGGGGGCTCTGCTTCCCTGTCCTTACTGCAGGTCCTGGAGCTCATGCAAGGCTCCAGTGTACAGTGTCGGGAGTGGTAGTGTTTATGGAAACTTGGTACGCCAGAAAAACTCTCCTGGCAAGATTTGCATTCTACGTCAAAGGTCTTGTCCAGGTTCAAAGCTGTGTGTTTAGTGTGGACGTGAGTCTTCATCTGTGCGTAGGAAGGCACAGATACGTCGCAAGGAGCACACACATACACACACTTTCCTTCATCTGCCAGATTCCTCATGCATTGTGTGTACGTAGCTCTCCTTTCATCTTTTCTCTTTTCTGAGCCCATGCATGGGCATGTGAGCTCACTGGTGCTCTCCACAGCCGTGGGTTGAACGACGTCACCACCGTCCATGCAGTAGTAGTCCTTACTGTGAAGATTCTTGTAGTGCTCCAAGAACTCGCCCTCAGATTCAAACTGCATGCTGTCACAGAGGCCGCAGAAGTGGGAGCTCTTTATCTCCCCACCGTGCTCGTTCATACAATGTCTACGGACGGTGGACTCTTTGAAGAACTTCTGAGGGCAGTGTCCGCAGATGAACCTCTGAAAGCTGTGACTGCTCACGTCACTGCAGTGTTTCCGGACGTCCGCCTCCGAGTCAAAGACGTCCTCGCACATCCTGCACATCCATGTCTGCTCTGCTATTAAAGAAGATGTCTCTACTGTGTCCTGTTGGATTACCGACTTTGTGGAGGATGAATGTAGGGTGCTGGTGGACGGTTTGGCGTCAATGGCCGCGGCGAGCTCCTCGGGCAATTCTTGTTCGGTGAAGTAGGTGTGCCCACTGTGATCTTCTGACACGTGCGACAGGATGTCTTCGTACCGAGGCATTTCCACTTTGCACTTGCGGCAGTAGAACAGGAAGTTGGAGAGATGAGCTCCCCCGTGAAAGCGACTCATATGCAGGCGGGTAATTGAGGACTCTCCCATGTGTTTGCCACACACTCCACACTGATGGAAAATCTGGTTCACTGCCAAGAGATGCTTACTGGCAGCAGCCTCCTCTGAGAACTGTAAACCACACTCACAGCACCACACTGCAGCCGTGTTCCTGCCAGTGCTGCCGTTCACACCCTGGCTGAGTCTCTGCCGTTTGGTCGACGATTCTTCACAATTGGCCCTCTTCTTGTTTCTCTTTTGAGAAGGCGTTTCAAGGCCGGTGGACTGGCTTTTCCCCTGTGCCCCTCCAGCCCTCTGTGTGTGTTGAATTTCACTGAACCTGCAGTACTGAAGGACCGCTTTATCCATCGTTTGGTTGATCTCCACGTCGTGCTGGGTCGATTCTCTGTGTCTCTCAATTTCAGCTTGGCTGTGGAACATTAGACAGCAGAGGGAGCACTGCCCTCGCACTTGCAGCTGTTTCATTACCTGCACTACTGTTTTATCAGCCTTGGCCACCGCACAGCCTTGTCTGCAATGTACACTAGAAAAGAAAAAGAAAGGGAAAATCAGTTCCACAAAACAACTGAACAAAGTAAGTGTGTGCTTTACAAGTTTGTGATATCAAACGATATTAACACAGGCACATGTACTGAGTAAATCACAATAAAACTTACTTAAAGTGAGCTTGGGCTGCCTGGTGTGAAATCAGTACTTTGTGACATATAGAGCATCGGACAGTGAACGCTGCATCCTTGCACAAAATGATGAGACGATTCTTAACATATTGTGGGATGGGAACTGGCAGTGCTCTTCCTCTGGTTTCTTTAACAAGAAGAGAAACAAAAGAAGTACGTAAGAGAAAAAAAGACACACGTAATAATCCTCATAATACTCCCAGAGCGCTTTTCTTTAATACTGTCTTACTAAAAATATGTGTAAAATGACAACAAAGTCATTTAGACTATTTTCCTTATCTAGTGTTCACTGGAAACTCCTTTGGGGACCGAGGTTATGGTCACATGAATACAAAAAACTGTTTTATATAGTAAGAACATTCATTTATCAATTAGGAAATCCCTACAACTGGACAGAGGAAACAGAAAATGTATTCAAATATTACTGTCTAATAAGTATATTTACACTTCCCTGTGCCAGACTGTGAAGTTGTAATGACGATGTATGGAAAATAAATGTTCAATAAAACTTACCATTCATGGGAAGTGAATCTGTGAAGTGGTTTTTGGCTGACATGTGCTGAAGGCACTCATCTCGCAGGTTGAAGAAGACGTAGCAGGAAGGACAGGCAAAACACACAATCCGCTGATAGGTCTGAGTTAGGCTGTGATGATCGGCACTAGATGAGGACACCTGGTAATAAAAACAATAGAATTCAAAACATGTTTCTTCCCAAAATAATTATGACACATAGCACAGTCAGAAAAGTGCACAAACCTTCGACTCAAGATGTTTCCTCCACGCTTCTTTAGTCTCAAAATGTTGACCACAGGCAGCACAGCCAAAGAGCTCAGATGGACATCCTTTAAGATTGATGGTTGGGTCGCAAGGGGAGTGATCAAACCTACACACAAGATATTTTATTGCAATATATTTCACATTCATACTCAGGAAACAGGTTCAAAAGGTATTACACCTACACCGAAATGAACAGAAAGAGATTACCTTTTTAAGTGTCCTTCAAGGAGGGGAACATTGTCATAAACTCGACCACAGTTGATCACTGGACAAGTGTGTATGGTTGAACTATTTCTGGGGAATGGAGCAGGTCTGTGTCTCCTTCCGAAACCCGTACTGATCCTTCCAGGTTGAACACCTAAATAAACATAAAGGTACAGTACAACAAGTTGCACAATGTCAGTCAACTAACCTCTCCAAACACGTGGCAGCATTGTAAAAAGGTGCTGCACGCCTATATCTCTTAACACAAAATTACATTTGAATCATCCCTGTGATAAAAGTGGATCAATATAAAACAGCACAATACCGAAAAATGCTTTTAAAGTTGTTATATTTACTTTAATCGGCTCACGTACTGACACATTTAGGAGTGACAATTTGTGTGTGTACCTGGCATCTTTAACCACATGTCAACGCAGCGTTTTGCCTCCTGATTCATTCCATTTGTCGAACTAAAAGCCAGCTCCTGCTGTCCATGAGCTTTTTGTAAGATTTGCTTCTCCTGAAAATAAAAACAAAAAAGACTTTTCAGACTTACCTTATATGACAGAAAGACAAATGTCAGTGTTTAATGTCAGTTCATAAAGTGACAAACAGTAGAATGTTATGGAGCAAACACGCTGCAGCTGTTCAGTGTAATACTGGAGGACAGCTATTTGCTTTTATATCCATATTGCCCACAAGGTGGCACTGTTGCAGCTACAAGTAGAACATTTCTAATGAGAATTTTAATTTACATTTACTCTTTGAATGAAAAAATACAAATAAAGTTGGTTATAGAGTAGTTAAAAAATTTTGCCAGCGCTGAAATTGGCATATGCAGACATTTTTGCAGAGTAGTTGATTATATTGAACCACTCTTCATCTATTATAGCAGTTCAAGGTAGATCTCACAGAATGCATAAGGTGTCTTCTTTACTTTGTGAGTGTAGATGTTGCCCTGATTAAATGTGAATGTTGAGTCCTGATTCCAGACGGTTTAAAGTGTGAACTATACAATATACATTATAACTTTTATATCATCTTGTGTTTAAAAAAGAAAAGCGGGAATGAAAGATGACTACTCCAACTGGAAACAATGATGGTCTAAAACTGAAGCAACCTTACCTTGAATGCTCTACATTTATTTGCTCTTTCCTGTTTCTCTAAAGCCACCTGCTGTGCTAGTCTGTCCAGTGTAGACGTAACGCGCGCTTTATGGCTGGTGATTTTATCTTCAAGCTACGGGAGAATAAAAAGGCACAATTTCAGACAACACAACAGGCAGTCACACTATTTAATAAAAGAAAGCAGTTACATTCAGCCACTCACCGTGCTCGAAGAACATCCCTCATCCTCACTATCACTACTTAGATTAATACATTCCAATACCGGTCTGACGGGACCCTCCTGAAGCACGTACAAGACACACAATGTCAAATAGTGTTATAAAACATGCCTAACTTACATTCATATATATTTATACGATTATTTTCTACATGCTGATGAAAACAGAGGTGATCTATGTCATTAGCTACAGATATACAATAAAAGGAGCAGTAGCTTATAGTGTTCAGTAGATACATATATTTATGAATGAAGTAAAATGGCAATTAGGTCTGATTATCAGGTTAGATCAATGTCAGCACACAGAATGTAAGCAGCAACTTATTATGTTATCCTTTGAACCTATTGATTTTTAAATGTGTAAACATGACCTACAGATACAAACTCCACTTCTTCCTTCGTCATCTTCGTCAGCTTGCATTGGAGAAGAACATTTATCTGAGGAAAAAAAAACAAAAAAAAATATGTAACTTTTAAAGCTGGGGCCCCAATGTGAGTGGAGGGGGGGGGTGCACTAGTTAACATAACCCAGAGACAAGTGTCAGTGCATCACGTAGGCTGCAACTGCATATTTAGGGTTGGGCCTAAACTACAAACTGCTGTGTTAATGACAGTTTTTCCTCCCAACGCGTCTCCTAACAGTTAAATGATGGTTTAGGTTATCTAACGACACAACAATAACATGTTCAATAGTTTGGACACCGTAATAGTTGCATGGGATTTGGCCAGAAACCAGCGTCATGTTGTCAGCTAGCTACTCGGGTAACAGTCCTCATATGATCGTAATGTTGCTCCAAAAGGACAAATGTTAAAATGAGTTAAAAACCATCGCAGCGCTCTTATTATACTCAGCAAGGAGACCTCACATCGACGTAAGGCTTGCATAAAGTAACAAAAACACCACTTACTCCGATGCAACGC